GCCCCCCCCCCCACCCCCCTCGGTGGAGGCGCTGGATGCCCGGTTCATCTCTAGTCTGTCTAGGGAATGTTCTTCAGCTGCCCACCCATTAGAATTAACCGCCCTTCTTCTAGTGCCCATAAACTGATGTCCACTCCAGTAGTATAATGCAGAACAACATTTTATTAAACATCTTCACTGAGGAGAGAGGGTATGGGGGGTTCTAAGCTTCCAGGGGTAACCAACAGAAGCTCCAGACTCACCAGACTTTGTAAGTATATCAGTGTAGATCCACCTGGGAGACAACGTATGGCCACTGAAGTAGCAGATTTGTTGTTTCACCACAGCTGGAGGGCCGGAGTTTGGCTACCGCATCTCTATCAGCATCACAGGCCTCCTCCATGGCCTCCGAGCCTGGGGGGGGGCAGGCTGAACAGTTCTCACGCCAAGCAGCCATTCATATATGCTGCCCGATGCCGAGTGTCACCTTAAGGTGGGATGGGATGGGATGGAGCTATGGCCCCCGAGGGAGCTCCATCCATACGTGCATTGCTCATAGCTCCCTCACGCGTCCTGAAGAGGTGCCTGGACCGGAGTGATGTCACATTCTGGCTCCCGAAACCTCTACAGGGCACGCTGGGGGGGTTCAGCTTCCTCAAATGATAAGACTTTATCTGGCAAACACCCCAAGTTTTAAAAAATATATACCAGCCATATCCTTCCTAAACCAAGCCTGAGCTGGGATTCGGGGCTACCAGGGGTAATTTGCAATCTGTCACATGCAGTGGGAAGCACCATAGAGTATAATCTCCTACGGTGATGCAAATCTGGGGCTGAAGCTGAAGACACCCAGGAGAGGACTGGGAACCTTTCACCTGGGAGACAAACACCACCAACCAACCTTTGAATGGTAGGGACATGTTGGCTTCTGTTGGATAAAGAAAGTCTACCATGCTAAGTGCAGTCACCTTATCATCGTAGTCAGATGTATTAAGTACAACTGTGCATCTTCCCAGCAGGCAGGATGGTGACACTCTTGTCTTTCTTCAGGGATGTCTCTCCCAGGTGTCTTCAGCTCCAGCCCCAGATTTCAATCACCAAAGGAGATTATACTCTATGGTGCTTCCCACCGAATATGACAGATTGCAAATCACCCCTGGTAGCCCAGAATCCCAGCTCTGGCCAACGACTGATGGAAAAGCCCATTCTGGGATTAGAATTCCCCTCTCCCCACCCCCGACCCTTAACAAGTAGAAAGGACATAAACACTGATCAATTAAGTTTGAAAATATTTTTTTATTTAAAACGGACAAAAAAAGTAAACTCAAATAAGTCAACCACTATAGGTGGTCCAGAGGGGCTTCTTCACCAGGGTAGAGGTGATGATACATAGCCCGATCAATGGCTTTGTCCATTTCCAGCTGTTGTAGCAGATTTATAGCTTTCTTCTTGTAACCACTGGTTATGTCCCTTCTTAGGGCTTCATATGTGTTGTTATCATTCAGAAGTGCAGTCACCTTATCATCATAGTCAGATGTATTAAGTACAACTTTGCATCTTCCTTTATCAGCAGGCAGGATGATCATCCTCTTGTCTTTCTTCAGGGATGTAAACGTCCTCCTGCCTTCTGTAGTCAGGTTTGACGGAGGTGGTTTGGCACTCGCCAGGGCTGCAGACAGTTTTAGGTGAAGTTGTTCAGGCTCACCCTGTGGCACTTTGTTACTGGGGATCGAGGCCTCAGTGGCCGAGATAATATCCACTACAGGGATGGTTCTGGGTGTGATTGCCAAATTCAACCCTTTACCATCTGAAGCTGGGTGAGAACCCTTTCTGTTCTACACCCATTTCTCTTAGTTCTGCAATGTCCCCCTTTCCTCCTTCTGCCTCCAAGTTAGTTCTTCCCTAGTATGGATGATTCCAGTTCGGGAATAACAAAATGGAGAACTTCTTCTATTGCCTCTCCTTGCCCTTCGTGTGCTGAGCTAGCTGTGCATGTACCGTGAGGTCTGTTACTGTCCTCCAAGTATCAGCAGGTAGCTGAAAAAGCAGGCCCTCTTCTAGCTGATTGATAGTATGTTCTAAGGCTTCAGCTGTGAAATGGGCCCGCCGTAACGGTCAGTGAGCAATTATTTCTGGGCCTTCTGTATATATCACAGACATAAACCCAAATACGTCGACCACTATAGGTTGTCCAGAGGTGTCTGTTTAGCTGAAATATTACGCTTCAGCCCAGAGGTTTTCCACGCAGTGCTTGGTGTTCTGGCACTCGGTGTCCTTGGGGTCTAATGGCCATCATAATCTACCTACCCACTTGCTCTGAGACCAAGTCATCCTGGATCCGCCTCAGTCTATGACTGGACAGTTGCAGTAAAAGCAGTACAGTGATCAGCTCATTATTCTGTAAGTTTGCTTTCTCCTCCTATCAGCATGCTTGTTGTCAGCCCAAGATATGAAGTTGCTTTAGTCTGCTGATTGGAGTACTCCCTGGATCAGCAGTCTACAGTGCTGGCCCGGATGAAAATGAACAGCCAGGTATATTTCGGTTGGAAACCATCTCAATGAAAAGCTGCACTTGGGGGAGAGGCAAAGGCCTCGAACTGATGTAACGTTCGCCCCGGCAGAGACTCCTTATATGTGTTCTCCAATCAGAGCATCAACAGGGATCTAGCTATAGCCAAGTAGATTCAGAACCAGAAATGGACACGTTTCTAAAGGTCCAAACTAGAACTTCCTTTTCCCCCTTTTCAGTCCTGACAGGGCCCACCATTCAGATGTCTTCTAAGAATAAACAGTACATTCCCAGAAGCATCCCTTCCGGAAAAGGCACTGCTTATGTTATGAGACTTCCGAAGGGTGAGCACTGTCAGGACTACAGTGTATGGGAAATTGTGGTTCTAGTTTGTACCTTTAGGAACTCGGTCCATTCCTTTTTCCGAAGCCAGTTGGCTGGAACTGGATCCACATTGATGCTGTAGATGAAGAATGTGAATAAGGAGTCCGGTGACGTCCGTGAGATGGTTTTCACACTTCCGTGCATGGGACGTGGTCATAATCAGATAGTGACCATGCGTCCACGTCCTGGCTCGGAGTCATGTGGTGTGGCTGGCATTTCTTTACCCGTGGTTAGGCTGATCATGTGCCGATGGTGGAGATTATGGCTTCAGCTGGTCTCCCAAAAAGGAGAAGCCGCTGAAGAGCTGCTGATGCTGCGCGGGTATGGGATCATGTGGCGCAGAGGACACAACCTCGGCTAGATCGATGATCTGATCTAGAGGTGCCTCCGGAAGCTGGAAAGAGACAAAAAGGCATACGTCAAAGGCATTAACCGCTGCAAAAAGTGCAGAAACACCTCAGCGACTTTCACCCACCCCATGTGTAGGTGAAGGATACCTAAACCCAAAGGCAAAATCTGAATCTTTTTCCAGCTTATAACCCCTTAGTGGTGGCTGCATTCATTTTCCTTTTTCCCTTTGTATTTTCACTGAATAATCCCATCCTGATCCCAATGAATGCAGATAGAGCAAATACGATAAACCTATGATATGCTTCGAAAATCCTCTACCGTCCCAAAATGT